CAGGCAGCATGGGGAGTCCCCTGGCCTTGGAGCAGGGACATCCCCTGCCTGGGAGCAGGATGGCTACAGGGTTTAGCTGGGGTCAGAACCCTCGTGGAGGAGGAGGAGGAGGGATCTGGGTGCGCCACATGCTTCAAGAAAACGTGTTGCGGGGTCTCCCAGACCTGACGCGCTCACAGGGCGCTCCTGTGGCTCAGCTTTTGTATACGGAACGCTTGTCAGCGGGAAAAGTGCAACCTCAGGTTCTCTCCCACAGGCAGCTCTTTGTTCCCAGATAAAGGACCTTACACCAAAGGCCCTTTGTGCCGCTGCTCAGAACAGTGCTGGGATTAATTGTACCGATAGGTGCTTGAATGGGGAGCACGCAAGGCCACTCACTCCTGGTGTAATTATCTTCAAAACTGAGAAAGAAATTAAAATATGCAGAGATGCCCCTTATGGTCGCTTTTTGAATAGCAGGCAGTCTCCAAGATTAAAAGTGCATCTCTAAACAAGCTAGCTTTCCTTCCAGAGGAGAAAAGCATGGCAGTGAGGGGGAAAAAAGGCACCTGGCATGACTGTTAGCAGCCACCATGGTGAAAGCCAAGCCATATCCTGGGACAAATGGTCCAGCCATTGATGGCATCTGCAGGAGGTCAGTGTGGGGTAAGGGGCCACATAAGGCTGGTCCGGGCCACTTGCCCCTTGCTGAGCTCCTGCAGACATGGTGCCATGGTGTGCATAGCTCACAGAGAGCACGGGCACGTTGCAGAACAGGTTCCTCTGTTTGCAGCAAGGCTGCGTGGGTGTCTTTACTAACTCTTCTCCCTTGCCTTCTTCCAGGATGCTCTGGACTTGCATGAGCTGCCTTCTCCTCATCGGGCCAAAGAGCTGGCATCTTATATTGCCAGTGTATCCTGATAAAAGCCATCAGTCCACGTATTCTAAGGGGAAAGCGTTCAAAGTGGAGCTTATTGGTGGAGAGGATTGACTCTTCCCCAGTGGCTTCATCTTGAAAGAATTTTGATATTTCCCCCCCTTTTCTGGCTCAGCCATCACTGCCGCGCGCGTCTGCCGCTCAACAGCGCGAGACGGGCTCTCTGGGCCTCTTAAGGGGGGAGTTCAAACGTTTTCGCTGGCCTCAGACCATGCATGCTGCATTCCTGAGCCTCAGCACCGCGAGAGAGAGGTCCCCGGCTCCAGATGGGTCCTTGCCAGGGCTTCAAACACCTAGTGAACTGCTGGGCCTCTGTGGAGGTGATGGGAGGGCTGCTGGTAGGGAACTGCTTGTCTTTGCAGCTCAGGGTGTGCTTGGGAGGAGACGTGCAGGGCAGGGAGGAGGCAACCAGAACGATGCTCACAGCCCTGTCCAAGAAGTAAGAATCTTTCCCTGTCCTGGGATCCCACTCTGCCTTGGGACTTCTGCTTCTGTGTGGAGTCAAGCCTGGCTGGCTGCACTTGCTGAGCGTAGTTGGGCTCCTTCTCCTTGCCTTGATTTTGCCCAGCTGAAGGTAAGGAGAGGACAACTCCTAGCGCTGCAGACAGTGATAAAGCAGGCCTTAGGGTGACTTCCCAAGCCGGCAAAATTGGGAGCCAATTTCCCGTTGACTAATGGGACCAGGCTCTTGCTGTGCTGTGCGGGATTGAAGTGGCATTGACTCACTGTTCAGCCAGCCCTGACGCTGTTCACGTCCCTCCACAGCACCTGCAAACCTGAACCACACTGGGAAATCACCAGTGACACCTCTTAACCCCCCTCTGGCACCATGGGCCGGAGGAAGAGAGCAGCTGCTTGATCCTGAACCATTGAAGCCCAGTGCTTGGGCTCCCCAGCCCAAACATGCCCTCTCACACGTCCTTTTGAGGGGGACCAGTGCTTGGTGTGCCCCAGTGTTTTTGGAAGAGAGGACCAAGTTCAGGGCCAGGTCATGGTGAGAGCTCTGCGGCACCTTTAAGGGCTCGGAGCAGTTTCTGCAGCTCAGCTCAGCGTGTGCCACCAGCCCCTGGACCATGCAGCACAGCAGCCCATAGGGCCTTCCACCCATGACCTTCACAATGGCAGGCTGCAGGGGTCTGGGAGGCTCCACTGACCCCACCTGGGTCACTCCTGTGGCTGCAGGAAACCCCCTCTGCCCTCTCTGCTCAGCCTGTTTCCTTTAGCTGAGTTGCTCAGTGAATATTTTTTTATCATTATTATTTCCCCTCCCCGCTCTCTCTGTGTGGTTTACGTGGCTCTCACGCCAACAGCCGGCTTGGCTCTGTCAGTTTTTCTCTCCTCTGCTGGTCAGATGGCAGATGCTGCCAAATTAGGATGCAGGCAACAAGCCTCCTGTCCAAGCTGAGGTTCTGCCCACGGCCAACACTCAAGGGGAAGGACGCTGCTGGAGGGGACGACTGCCACGGCAAGGGCTTCCTACATGGGGCCTGCTGCTGTGCAGGAGAGTTCACGCATCCCCTGGACAGGTTTGGGAAGCAAACACCCACCATGGTCTGGTCAGTCCATGCTATGCTGTGGCTTGCCACAGCATCCTTGTGTCACTCTATTTGCGGGCACACCCTGCCACCCAGATCCCCATCTCCCCAGCCTGACTCACCGCCACAGCCGCTCATCCATCAGCAGCCCCAGCCCTGAGAACGCAGGGCATCCCTTCCCCGCTCCTCCTGCAGGAACACCCCCAGCTGGCCCTGCACTGGCTGGACCCGCAGAGTCTCTGCCCCGGGAGTTGGCAGCCCCGCACTGTGAGCGCTGAGCACACGCTTGGCTCTGTTCGCCGCCAGCGCGGCGTGTCTGGGCCCTCAGCACCGCTGTGTCCTTATTAGGGCAGCCAGCACGGGGCCTGTCCCTCGCAGAGGTGTGGGCAGCCCCTCCTGGAACCTGCTCCCCCATCATCTGGCACTGCCTGCCCACCATGCAGGGGTCTGGGAAGCGCAGCAGTGTCTCCTGTGGTCTTGTGGCTGCACAAAGCCACACTTGGGATCCTGCTGGGGTTCAGTAGCTGATGGTGTGGGAAATGGGAAAGGAGAGAGATGGTAGCTGGCTGTGTCCCCTGGGCAGGTAGTGCCATAGGACCAAGCAGAGGCTGCCTTATGGGTGCACAGAGCCATTCTGCCCATCCTGTGTCCCACCCTTCCTGCATAAACTGCTTGACAGAGGGCTTCTTCCTTCTCTCTCTGTTTTTGCCAGATGCCCCTAGTGTGTGTTCTTGAGAAACAGCAAATAACCCCTGCCCAGCAACCATCTCTGCATTGAAGTCTGATGTAGATGCTGCCCTTCTGCACCTCTTCCAGTGGGGAGTGGCACCATGAAAGGTTTTCCTCCCTCTGTCCCCAGTGCCATGCCCACTGCTGGTGCCACCAGGCCACAATGGGACTGTGTTTGTGTTTGCTCTGGGCAAACAGCCTGGGCAAGAAGCAAGCTCGCTGGCCCAGCTGGGAACCTGGCAAGCCACAGGGCAGGTCAGAGAGCCCACGTGTCCCCAGACGTGCTTGTTTATCTGTGCCGTGGTGGCACCCACAGCCTGTGCTGCCAGCCTGCCTGTGGGTGCTGGCCTGGGAGCTGCTGCCGGGTCTCGCCGGGGTGGGACACGGGAAGAAGGTGTTTACCTCCAGTCGGGCTTCATCGGAAACCCTGCCATGTGTGAATGCTTCCTTCCTCCTCCACACTTCCTCCCTGCCTAGGTCAGCCTGAGGTTTTCCTGGGGTGGAAGGAAAGAAGCTGAAACTGCCTCTTGCTGTGGGGCTGAGCCATGGTGCTGGCACAGCTGAGCTGCCCTGGCACGTCCGTGTGCCCCAGCTGGTGAGAGTGAGCAGTTCCCAGCCCGCTGCTGGGTCTAGGAGAGCCATGGCTCCCTGCCCTCCCTCCTGAGCCCGGGTGGGCTGAGAAGTGGATGGATGGATGGATGGATGGATGGATGGATGGATGGATGGATGAGCAGTGCCTGGGGAGCTGCACAGGGTTTCACGTGGGGCCATACTTGTGGCTGGGGAGTGGGATGCCCTCATCAGGGGGGTGTTTTGGCCCTGGCCCTGGGCCGTGCTCGGTGCAGGCAGCAGAGCCCCCCCTGAGCACACCAGGGTCTCCAGGCATTTGCATCCCCCTTCCACCAAACCCTCCCTAGGCAAAAGAAGGTTCAGAGGACCCCGGGGTGCTGGTGTGCCTGCTCCCCTCCAGACAGCCTAAGGGCCATCCCTGGAGCAAAGCTCACAGGCCAGCAGCTCACAGAGGGGCCGTTGGCCCCTGAGCATGTCAGTGTGCTCTCATGGTTGTGTTTCACTGCTGCTTTTTGCGCGTGGTGCTCGCGCGGAGCCACGCGGCTCTGCCTGGGATTAGCGACAGCTGCCTGCAATTGCAGCTCTTCCCAGACAAGCGTCTCGCTCCCCCAAGGCTGGGGCTGGGGCTGTTTGGGGAATGCTGCCGGGGTGGTTTGTCTTGTAGTCTGCTCCAGGAATGTTGGCCAGACGGTCAAATTCTTCTCCCCTCTTGTAAAATGAGTGATGTGGGGCGTCTCTGGGAGAGCAGCCTGCCAGTCCCTCCTCCTCTGGATAAACCTGCCTGGCCCGCACCGCCCTGTCATGGGAACGGGCCCTTTCAACCCCAGCCACATTAAATACGCGCCCTGCCAAAGCAGAGGGGGAGGGTGCGGACAGGGGCGCCCGGTCTTCCTCCTTTGGCACCCCTGCACTGCCTGGGGGACACGTTTGGCTGTGCTAGTGGCTGGGGATGGCAGCTTGTCCCCATCTCCCCCTTGCCACCTGGCCAGCTCCTCGTCCTGCCGCTTGCCTCCTCCAGCACAGCTCTCCAGGGACGCCTCGCTCTTCCTGTTCTCTTGACAGGAGAAGAGAAATCTGGAGTCTGTCTGCGCCGCTCCCCCCTCCTCCCACCACGTCTCACCCCCCAAGTTGCTGTTTTCCACAGAAATGTCAGGCTCAGCTCTCCTCTCCCCCACTCCTCCTGGTTTTTTTCCCCTCTAATCTTGGCCTTCATCTCCAATTATTTCTTTTTCTCCTTCCTTTCTCTCCAGAGACCCTGATGGACACAAAGTGGGTGACCTCTGAGTTGGCATGGACAACTCATCCGGAGACAGGGGTAAGTTTAGAACCAGCCCTGGTCCTGACCTCCAAAGGGCAGAGCTGGCCCTGGCCCCATGGGAATCAAGGGCAGAGCTGGCCCTCGCCCCATGGGAATCATGGTTGCTCACCACTGCCTTTGTGAAGCTGGCTGCATCTTTCTCCTTTCCTCCTGTGCGTATCCTCGCCTTGTGAAACCATCTCCTCTTGACTCCGTGCCAGTGGAGTGGGAGTGTCATGGTCCCTGACCTGGGTTTCTCTTAGTCAACATGATGACCAGGAGGGTTGTGACAGGTGAAGGTGTAGCTGCTGCTCTTCCCTGTTGACTGTTGCCTGTTCCCCCCACCCTGTGCCATTCACAATGTGTCCGTAGCACTGCTGTCCCTGGCTGGGGATCTAACCCTTTCCCTCTCAATCACAGTGGGAAGAAGTCAGTGGTTATGACGAGGCCATGAACCCTATCCGCACGTACCAGGTGTGCAACGTACGGGAGGCCAACCAGAACAACTGGCTTCGTACCAAATTCATCCAGCGCCAGGACGTCCAGCGCGTCTACGTGGAGCTGAAGTTCACTGTGCGGGACTGCAACAGCATCCCCAACATCCCTGGCTCCTGCAAAGAGACCTTCAACCTCTTCTATTACGAGTCAGATACGGATTCTGCCTCTGCAAACAGCCCTTTCTGGATGGAGAACCCCTATATCAAAGTGGATACAATTGCCCCAGATGAGAGCTTCTCCAAGCTGGAGTCTGGCCGTGTGAACACCAAGGTGCGCAGCTTTGGCCCTCTCTCCAAGAATGGTTTTTACCTTGCCTTCCAAGACCTGGGAGCCTGCATGTCCCTCATCTCCGTCCGGGCTTTCTACAAGAAATGCTCCAACACCATTGCTGGCTTTGCTATCTTCCCGGAGACTCTAACGGGGGCCGAGCCCACTTCCCTGGTCATCGCCCCGGGCACCTGCATCCCCAATGCAGTGGAGGTGTCTGTGCCCCTCAAGCTGTACTGCAACGGCGACGGCGAGTGGATGGTACCCGTGGGAGCGTGTACGTGTGCTGCTGGATATGAGCCCACCATGAAGGATACCCAGTGCCAAGGTATGTGCATGGCAGAGCGATCGTGGCTTTTGTCCCCATGGGTGCGTTGATGTGAAGGAGGTGATTTTGCGTTGAGCTCAGTCTGGTTTTGGAGGCTTTTCCCTGATGAGTGAGCAGGGTGACATCTCAGACGACTGGTCTGCAGTTGGACTCCAAAGCCTTAAAACCTTTGTGGTCCGGACTCATGCAGTGTCTGCTGGGACACACTGGTGAGCAACCACCAGGGCTACCCACTGTGGGATGCATCTCCTTGCACAGAGCTGCAGCTCAAGGCATGGTCCTCAGCAGGGATCCAGCACATTTAAGCCCTTGAGCATTACCAAAACCTCTCTCTCATTGCTGCTGCTGTATCCAGCATCTTCCCTCTCTCCCTCCTGCAGTGCTCGTGGCTGGGCCGAGTGATTGTTCTTGGCAAGTGTGATTTCACGCTGCTTGTGCGGAGGCTTGTTCAGAAGCCCTGGTGGTGAGCAGGGCTCCCCTGTGGGAGAAGCCATGCTGATGCATGCTCCCCCTGCCAGTGCTGAAAGCTTGCAGCAGGGATGGTAGGGACCAGCACGAAGTCAGTGGATCTGAAGCTCCTTGTTCTTGCTGGAAGGGAAGGAAACATATCGTGCACATGGAGATGTTGGGGATGGAGAGCCACCCTAGCAGCAAGATAGCTCTGTGTGAGTCCTGCAGCTGCCATGCTCTCCCACGATAGCTTTGGTGTTGCTGTTTAACCCCAGTTGGGGTGTGTTGGTAAGGAAAAATCTGTCTGGATGAATGTTGCATTCCCTTAGGGTGATTTTTTTCTTGTGAGCTGTCTCTGGCAGGGAGGACCCTGCCCTGGGGTGGCTGGGGTTTAGGGCAGAGAGGTTGCCGTTCCCCTTGGCTGCAGGCATTGCACAGGGAGCGGGATGCTGGCGGGGCCCCCAGCCCTGGATGCCTTGTGCTGGCCTGGCCCATGACGGGATGCTTGGCGCCAGCCCTTTGCTCTTGGCAGGGGCCGTGTGATTTGGGATGGCCTGTGACGTGGGGCTCGGGCCAGGCTGGCCTCCCCGCTGGCTTTGGGAGCAGGGTAGCTGACAGCTGTGCTGCTGTGGCTGGGCAGGGAGAGGTCAGTCTCCACAGGGCCTCAGCTCTGCCGGGGATCCAGAGCCTCCAGCACTGCTCTGACTTCAGTGCCACAGCCCCTGCATCTTGTGAGCACCAGTCTGGCTCCTCCTGAGCTGATGGACACCAGTGCCAGGCATCCATCCACACTTCAAACTGCACTGAGGTCCATGCTCCTGGGTAGCTGCTTTCCTTCTTGCTTGGACTGGGAGATCTTACACCATGCACGATGTTGGCTCTTTCCCAGCAGAGAGTGGGGTTTGGGCACAAGGTGACAGTTTCCAGCCAGTACCAGGGATGTGCTGAGAGGGAGCATCCCAAGGCAGGACAGAGCTCCTCAGATTAGGCTCAGGAGCCTGGGCAAGGTCTCATCTCCACATCCCCAAGCTGGACAGACCCCCATGTGGCAGCTTTCCCAGCGCCTTTGATCTCCCACCAAGGCCCAGCTTCTGCTGCAGCAGGCAGGGAAGCCACGCTGGGCAACGGGCATGTCTCCATCCGGCAGCCTGCCTCCTCGCTGGGCAGCAGCGGCGGTGTCCTCACGTTTCTCTGGGAAAGTTGCACTGCGCCTGTAGGATCAGATTTTCCGCCATATGATCGTGTGTTTTAAGTGGAAACAGCTGAAGAAGGGTCGGGAGAAGCCGGAGCTGCAGCTCCTTTTCTCCTCTTGGCTGGATGTTCCCTTACCCCGTTTCCACAGTCCAGCACCCCCAAGAAGTCTCGGAGCCGGTGTTGTGGGCAGAGGTGTGGATGCAGCCCCCCAAAGCTGGGGTTTCATCACTCCTGCCCCAGGGAGCCTGCAGGGGCTTCACCGTGCAGGCGAGCAGCGCTCCAGAGTGCCAGATGGCATTTTAATAAATAACAATACCCAGTTACTGCTTAGATGGGATAAGCCCTGTTGTAAATCTCCCCCTTTTCCCAGACTTTCAGTGGCCTTTGAAGACCTCCTCCTCCTCCTCCTCCTCTTTATCTCCATCCAAGCCAAGATTAGAGCTCACATTCAGACCTGTTACAATGCAGCTTGTATCCCAGTCCCTCGGGAGCAGAGGGCTCATCCTGCCCGACTGAAGACAGTTTCTTTGGCGTGCTTTGTAAGGCGATCCGCCAGGCTGGTACCTGGCGCTCTACTCCTGAGTTGCTACAGCATTGATTTGGCATCTCATTCTCAGCCTCATTATCTTTATTTAATTAGCACACGGCCCTTCTGGGGGTTGTGCCGCTTCCCACACACTCCCTGCCACGCAGAGCTGCAGAGGCTCTTGGAGGACAAGAAGGAGCTGCTGGCCAGGGAGGGGAGCAAAGGCTCCTGCATGCCTTTGGGCTGGGGTGCACGGCACTCACACCCCACACCCTGCAGCCCCTGGGGTTTAGCTTTTCCCCAGCCCCATCCCTTCTCCTTTTCATTAGGAGGCACCCTAACAGTTCAGGGGATTTGGTGTCAAGGGGCTCCCCAAAAATGCTCCTCCTCCGCATGTGATGGATTTGTTGGAATTTGCACCTTTGTGTTGCTGGCTTCACACAAAGGCAGAAAGGCTGCTGTGCCAGGGTGAGCAATGAGCCCCCTCCTTGCATGTCCCCTCTGCTTGGGAGGAGGACCACAATGCCCCCAGAGCCCACCTGGGAGGGGAACTGAGTCTGTGTGGTGCAGTCCATGGATACCCAAACTGTAGGAGCACTGGGGGTGACACTGTCCAGCATGACATTACACCTTCCTGAGACCCATTTCTCAGCCTTCTTGATGTTTCTTTTCTCGTGGCACCAGGCACTGAACATTTGGGCACAATCAGTAGGTGAGCGCAGGTCAAGCTGGGGCCAAAATCAGAATTTTTGCAAAAATAAATTTCCCTTGCAATCAGTGACTAATGAAAACATCACCGTGAATTAAATAAAAAAAAAAAATTGCCAAGCAAGCATTGCACTTGCCAACTGTTTGCAGCTTTGCATTGCAACATGGGCTTGCTGCATGAAACCCAGGAAGTGAAACTGCCTGGGATTAATTGCCCGGGATTCCAGATCAAAGGCAGCAGCAGGGAAGGCAGGGAGAGCTGCCGGTTTACAGCCAGGCAGCTCCACAATGGGTTACTTGTAACACAGTCGAGGAAATCTGCCCCTGCCGTCCTGCCTGTGACCCACTGTGGCTCAAGAGGCAGCTTTGCTTATTGAATTTTTTTTTTCTTTTCTTAAAAAAAAAAGAAAAAAATTGTTTTCTTGCCTGTTCCTTGGATGCCACTTCAAACCCCCAAAGGCTCTCTCCCTTCTCTCCCTTCAGATTTACTCCATTCACTTTTGGACTGCGCTAGTGTGAAATATTTTCACCCAAAGGGTGATTATTTTACTTTATTTTAAATAACTGCCTTTTAAGAGAGACTTAAAAACAGAGTTACCGCCTCGGCTGTAGCCAGGCTGTTGCTTCCACAGCTCTGCTCCATCTGTAGCCACTTACGACAGCGAGAAAGGAGCGAGCTGTGCAGGTTCATAAAGCACAGATCGTCCCGAACAAACCTGACTGCTGCCTCTAAAGAAATTACAGGGTTGATGGGCAAAGGGATATGATCAGTTTAATTTATCTAGGCTCAGGCGAGGCGTCCTGCTTCAATCCTACAGGGAGAGAAATAGCTGGAAGGATGCTGGAATATTGTAGAGTGAATGGGAAACGGTTGAAACATGAAACATGGTAGTTTGGGGCTGATTTTTTCCAGTGTGTCGTGGCAATCCCTGCCTTTCCAAGGGGAGGGGACCCCAGAGTTTTGGGGATGCACGGTGGTTCATTGCTGCTTGCCTGCATCCCATGCAATAATGGAGGCTGCCTACAGGATGAGTCACTGCTCTCTGCTGCTGGCAGAAGGGTTTTATTTCGGTGCTTTTTCAGCTCCCTTCCTTGAACTTTATTCACCACGGTGGAGATAGTATTTGGGAGTAGTACCCCCCTCTTCCCCCAGCTCTGTGCTGCAGCTTTTTGAGACAGGATCAGGCCCTGGAGGCGGGTGGCTGATGAAAATCCTGGAGGGGCTGCCAGAGCCGGATGGCCGCGTTTGCCATGCCGCGAGTGTGATGCCCCATAGGGGTGCAGGGGCAGCTTTACAGCAGGGCTCTGTTACTGTCCTCCTCCCTCCCACGCCCCACACAAATCCCCTCTGTGGCTGATCCCCGCTGTCAGGCCAGGCTGCCTCTCCCTGCCATCAAACCAGCGGCTCCTCTCCGCTTCGGTTCCCTGACCTGTTATCCTGTGGCTGTCACTGACTGTCATGTTCTCCCCAGAAGTGACCGCAGCACAGCACCAGGAGATGTGATCTGTGTGCAGAGGTTCAGAGTTGTTATTTTATTTGAGGACACTTCAGCAGGAAAAGTGCTTATGCAAAGCTCTCGGCAGGGAGAAGGGAGCCTGGCTTCCCAGCTCCGGCTGGATGGAGTCACGTTCCCACTCCAGAGCTCCCAGGCTCGTTCCGCAGCGTGCCGGCCAAGACAGTGGTTGTTGTACAGGCAGTTTCTTGCAGAGAAGAGATGACACAGCGGCTTATCCACCAGGGACCTGGGATCAGCTTTCAGCTCGGTTACTGCCTTCAAATGTGGCGGCTGAGAGCTGTCACACTGCCACCGAGGTCTTTATGCTCTGATTTATTAAGCAGAGTTGGAAATCTACACACTGGAGTGCATCTGGGCCTCAGTGCCTCTGCTGCTCTTCCCCTTCTTAACAGGGCTGGTTCATGGCTCGTCCCCCTCCTGCCAGGATGGCATAAGGATGCACAGAAAAGGCCTTCACCCCTTGTGCCTGCACTGAGCACTGCTCAGGGGTGGCAGGGAGCTGCTGAAGGGCAGCTCTGCCTGTCCCTTCCTCCTGTGTCTGGGAGGCCACTGTCACCTTCGTGCCCGTAACCCACTGGGCACCGGCTGGCACTTCTTGTGCTGGAGACCAAATGTCCTCCTGCATCCTTTGCAAGCCCCTGGCAAAATTTGGCTGCCATGCCATGCTTGGGCTGTCAGCTTCACACAAGCGCTGGTTGCTCCGGCTTCACTCTCCCCCCAACAAGCCTGTTCAGGGGGTTTTGTCCCTGATGGATCTGGGCTTCTCTCCATAACCAAAGCATGTTTGGCAGCTTTCTGAGCCCAGAGCATTCCTGTCCAAGAGGTTTCAGTCATCTCTCATTCCTCAACAATCTGGTTCCTTATGTGTGAATCTGCATCCACCCAGTTTGAGCCGCCCGGGACTCCAGCCGGGGTGCGTCTGCCTATGCCAAGGCTTCTCTGCGACCTCTGGGCCTCTGCTGTCCACATAAAGACACATTTTCTAGCGGCCTGGCTGTCCCAGGCTGGGGACACAGAAGCCCTGGACCTGCTGGCTTCCCATTGCTTGCCAAGGAGCAGATCTGTGCACTGCTTTGCCTTCCAGCCTGCACAGTCGGGACGGGCAAAGCTTTCATTTCCAAAGGGAAGGCCCAGAGGCTGGGTGAACTCAGGTCAAGGAGTGGAGTTAGTAGAGCCATGTAGTCAGTCCTGTTTTGACCAAAGAAGAGTCTCACTGCTGGGAGGCTCACACCCTGGGAGCAGGAAGCAGCTCCTGACACCCATCCAGGCAGAGGGGCGGGAGAGCAGGGGTTGTCTCTGCAAGGGCTGCTCTCACATCCCCCTGGCCAGCAGCACTGCACAGGAGCGGGGCTTCTCCCTTGGGCTTGCTGCTGCTTGGTGCCTGGACAAACCCAGGACAGCACCTGAGCTGTGTGCGGGTCCCTGCGGGGCCGGCCTGGCAGCGTGTGACTCACAGCACTCCACGCCCCATGTGGGGCCACAGCCAGCCGGAAAACTTCCACAGAGGGTGTCGGGAGATGCCTCATAGCAGGAAACTTCCACTTGCCACAGCCTGGTGAAGCACCAGGAAACCTCCTGCTGTTTTCAGGATGATGTGTGGCTGGCGTGGCAGGGTTACCTGCCCTGGGAGCTTCCCTAACGTGGTGGAGCGAGGAGGATGTGCCCTCCTTCGGGGCCATCGGTGCTGATGCTGCCCCAGCTGTGGCAAACAGGGTGATGCTGAACAGAGCCGGCGCCAGTGGCTCTCTCACCTCATCCGGCTGCAAACACAGAGCACAGAATCCGCTTCCTTGGGCAGCAGTGTGATAAATCAGGCTATTTCGAGGTGTGGGTCAGGTTCCCGAGGCCGCTCTGCTCCTCAGCTCAAGTGCTGTTAAACCTTTCACGTGCCCCTCATTACAAACAAACACCTTGTGGTGCCAATGGGGCCGTATCCCAGGATTCGTGGCTCCTTGAAGGACCCTGATCGGAAGCGGAGGAGGGAGGTGGCAGTGATGCTGAAGCAGCTCTTCAGCCAAGGACCTGCAGGAATGTTTTCATCTCGCTCAGCACTCCACTTGAGCCGACCTCGTGAGGTGCCGCCGCCCCAGGACTGAGAAGTGGCTCAAGAGCCTGAGGCGGAAGGTTTGGGGCTGAGTGACTGATTTTGGGTGGTGGAGGCCTCTCGTAGGGGCTGTAAAGGAATTCTTTCTTTCCCAGCCATGTTTCCCCAGACGATGGACCTGGCACTGTGAAGGTTGCCAGGTCTGCAAAACAGCATGGCCTTCCTCCATGGAAGGGGGCACAGTAAGACCCTTGAGAAGGGCAGTGAAGAATCATAACTGAGGAATAGAGTTCTGGCTGGATCTACTCTGCCCCCCATACTGCTGGTGGTGACCAACTCCTCCCACCTCCAATCACCTCAGACCTGCTGCTGGAGCCCAGCATTTCCTGGCAGAGCTGTGCCTGAGCCATCTGGTGCTTCCAGCAGCCGACTCTTCTCACCCTTCCCTGCCATGATTCCCTGGGCATGGCTGATGGCAGTGGAAAGGCTTGTAGGAGGCCCAATCCACTGATCAAAGATTTGACAGGGCAAAGGAGTCTGCCCAGCTATGGTGGGAGCAGTGAATGTTTTCTGGGTTCACTTTATAACTCAGGTCTGGTTTTCTTTCCTCCAGCGTGTGGCCCAGGAACCTTCAAATCTAAGCAGGGGGAAGGTCCCTGCTCTCCCTGCCCTCCCAACAGCCGGACCACCTCTGGAGCAGCAATGGTCTGCACTTGTCGAAACGGCTTTTTCCGGGCAGACACGGACCCAGCAGACAGCGCCTGCACCAGTGAGTCCTGCTCTGGGCAGGGAGGGGAGCAAGGGAGGCTGTGGAGGTGATGTGGGTCTGTGTCTGGCATGGGGTATGTGCTGTGCCCATGCCAGGGCAGAACTGGACGTAAAGACACCCACATTTCCCTGCAGGTGTCCCCTCGGCCCCCCGCAATGTCATCTCCAATGTGAACGAGACGTCGCTGGTGCTGGAGTGGAGCGAGCCGCAGGACACGGGCGGGAGGGATGACCTGCTCTACAACGTCATCTGCAAGAAATGCAGCGTGGAGCGGCGTCTGTGCACCCGCTGCGACGACAACGTGGAGTTCGTGCCGCGCCAGCTCGGCCTCACCGAGCGACGCATCTACATCAGCAACCTGATGGCCCACACCCAGTACACCTTCGAGATCCAGGCCGTGAACGGCATCTCCAACAAGAGTCCCTACCCTCCCCATTTTGCCTCTGTCAACATCACCACCAACCAGGCAGGTCAGTGGAGCCACCAGGGAGCAGGGGCTGTATCTTCTCCACAGAGCAGAGTGGAGCAGAGATTTCTTTCTGACAGCCTGGGAGGCTGCAGTCCTTTGTGGTGCCGCCTAACTGGCTCTCTGGGCCTGTATCTAATCCCCTGGGTAAACTCTCTTCTCTGTTTAAAGCATGTCCCTAGAGGAGATGAGATCAAAATGCATGCAAGTGGAGAAGACTAGGGCTGGCAGATGCTCCAGAGAGCTCTGAATCTCCTAGACCTACCCCAGAGATGCTGTGCCTGCTGTGAGGGGAGGAGGAAGGAAATGAGATTTCTCTCCTGTGTGCCTGGGAAGGCTCAGCACCAGCCCAAGCCTTTGCAGGCAGCCAAGTGCTCTGCCATTCCCTCCTTCCTCCCGCTCTGGCCCCGCTCCAGCGTGCTGGTAATCTCCAGCCACTGCGCGCTGATCTGATTTCATGGGTCTTGCTGCTGGGGTGGAGCACAGAGCTCCTGGCAAATGGAGGAGGGGAGGGAGCCCCAGTTTGGGTTGGCAGGGCCCTTCCCCAGACCAGTCTGCAGCTAGGCATGGGGTGAAGCATGACTTCAGTGCTATTTCTGAGGCTCCCCTTGGTGTTGAGATCACACCTCCTTATGGAGACTTGGGGGAGGCCATGAGTCTCAGAGCTTTTCCATGCCTTTCCACCAAGATTATCCAAGCAGGCTACAGGCAGAGCATTTCCTACACTGTGTGGGATGGTGGAGGTGGAAACCTGGTGCAGGTGGCTCATTCCTTCCCTGCCCTCCTTCCTAGCCCCATCTGCCGTACCGACGATGCACCTGCACAGCAGCACTGGGAACAGCATGACGCTGTCATGGACTCCCCCAGAGAGACCCAACGGCATCATTCTGGACTATGAGATCAAGTACTCGGAGAAGGTAAAGCAGGAACAGCCTTTTCCCTCATCTAGCCCTTCCCATCAGCACCATGGCATAGGGGGTTCCTCTAAACCTGGCTCCTGGGGATGTGGGAGCCAGCAAATGGAGGGTGGCTTCACAGAGGTGACACCCACGTCTCTCCTACAGCAAGGCCAGAGTGATGGCATCGCCAACACAGTCACCAGCCAGAAGAACTCGGTGCGGCTGGACGGGCTGAAGGCCAACGCTCGGTACATGGTGCAGGTGCGGGCGCGCACCGTGGCGGGGTACGGCCGCTACAGCCTCCCCACGGAGTTCCAGACCACTGCCGAGGGCGGTAGGTACCAGCCCTGGGCTGCCTCCATCGCCCAGCCCTCCCGTGCCTGCTCCTTTCCCAGCCTGACCTCGATTCCTGCCTGTCCCTCCATCAGGTTCCACCAGCAAGACTTTCCAGGAGCTGCCTCTGATCGTGGGCTCGGCCACTGCAGGGCTGGTGTTCGTCATCGTGGTGGTGGTGATTGCCATCGTCTGCTTCAGGTACTGGCTTTTCAGGGAGGAGGGCTTCAAATCTGGGTTTGGGGGTTGCTCATGTGTGCCACAGAGCTTTCCCCTTCACCTGTGGGCAGAGCTCTGGCAGCTCCAGTCACAGAGTGAAGGACTGCACCGGCCACACATGGGTCCCAGAGCAGGGGTCCTGTGGGAGGATTGTGCCTCTGCTTCCCCAGCAGGAGCTGGGCTCTGCCCAGGCTCCTGCCATGCACTCAGCACAACTAGGCCATCTCCTCCCATCGCACCTCGGGTGGAGGGATGGCTCTGTGCACAGGCTGCCAGAGGGAAGGCTCTCTGGCAGAGGCTGTCTGTGCTGGGATTTGGAAGTTGGCAGTGAATGTCTTTGCCCCATCAGGAAAGGGATGGTTACTGAACACCTCCTCTCATCTCCTTTGGGCAGGAAGCAGCGCAACAACACCGACCCTGAGTACACAGAGAAGCTGCAGCAATATGGTGAGTGTGAGAGCCCAGCAAATGGACTCTGGCTGCCCTCTCCCAGTTCCTGTCCCATGCAAAGGGGCAGCCTTTTCTAACAAGGGGTGGGCTGACAGCCAGCCAAGTGGCTTGACATCTGTCACCCTTGCTGTGTCCCTCCTGGTGATGGCTTCTGTCCTTGCAGTTACCCCTGGGATGAAGGTGTACATTGACCCTTTCACCTACGAGGACCCAAACGAAGCTGTCCGGGAATTCGCCAAGGAGATTGACATCTCCTGTGTGAAAATTGAGGAGGTCATTGGAGCAGGCAAGTCCTGGGGCTGGGCACAGCAGGTGCTGACACTGCTGCCTCTCACCCTGTGCTGTGGCTCACCGTGCTGCTCCCCTCTCTCCTTCCCACTACAGGGGAGTTTGGTGAGGTGTGCCGGGGGCGCCTGAAGCTGCCTGGCCGCCGCGAGATCTTTGTGGCCATCAAGACCCTGAAGGTGGGCTACACGGAGCGGCAGCGGCGGGACTTCCTGAGCGAGGCCAGCATCATGGGCCAGTTCGACCACCCCAACATCATCCACCTGGAGGGCGTGGTGACCAAGAGCCGCCCCGTCATGATCATCACGGAATTCATGGAGAACTGTGCGCTCGACTCCTTCCTCCGGGTGAGCATCCATCCCCTCCTGCCCTGGGCTGGGGGCAGCAGCTCTGAGCCCTTCTCCACCTCTTTGCATCGTCATGCTGGTGTCCCAGGGTTAAGCTCTGAGTGGGAGAAGAGCGGTGGCTCTAGGGAGGAAGAAGGTGATGGTGGTAGCGCACTGGGATCCTTCCTCAATCTCTTCAGGGTGTTGCAAACCCCTCTGATCTCTCCTCTGGCAGCTGAATGATGGGCAGTTCACAGTCATCCAGCTGGTGGGAATGATGCGAGGCATCGCCGCTGGCATGAAGTACCTTTCGGAGATGAACTATGTGCATCGGGATCTGGCTGCCCGCAACATCCTGGTCAACAGCAACTTGGTCTGCAAAGTGTCTGACTTCGGGCTCTCCCGCTTCCTGGAGGATGACCCAGCTGACCCCACCTACACCAGCTCCCTGGTACGGGACACTCACGAGGGATCTGGGATCTGGGGGTGGGGGGAGACACCTCAGGGATGCACTAATCGTGGAGCTGTGTATCCGTGCAGGGAGGCAAGATCCCGATCAGATGGACAGCTCCTGAGGCCATCGCCTACCGCAAATTCACTTCAGCCAGCGACGTGTGGAGCTACGGCATTGTCATGTGGGAAGTGATGTCCTACGGGGAGCGACCTTACTGGGACATGTCCAACCAGGATGTGAGTGCTCTCTGGGGAGGAGGGAACCGGGAGCTGTAGGCTGCGTGTGGGAGCCCAGGTGGCTCACAACCTGCCTCTGCCTTTCTGCAGGTGATCAATGCTGTGGAGCAGGACTACCGCCTGCCACCCCCTATGGACTGCCCCACTGCACTGCACCAGCTGATGCTGGACTGCTGGGTGCGGGACCGCAACCTGAGGCCCAAATTTGCACAGATTGTCAACACGCTGGACAAGCTCATCCGCAATGCTGCCAGCCTGAAGGTCATCGCCAGCGTCCAGTCTGGGTCAGTGACATCCTTGTTTCCAGCCAGCACTTACCTCAATTCCAGGGAACACTGGAGTGGTTGGGAATAGAGCTGTGGGAGGGAGGGGATAAGAATGGGGAGCCCTTGCTTCCAGTTACACCTCTCTGTGCCCTGCTCCTTGTGACTTGTGACTCTCTTGCCCTTTAGCATCTCCCAGCCACTCTTGGACCGCACTGTCCCAGATTACACCACTTTCACCACCGTGGGAGACTGGCTGGATGCCATCAAAATGGGACGGTACAAGGAGAACTTCGTCAATGCTGGGTTTGCCTCCTTCGACCTGGTGGCACAGATGACTGCAGAGTAAGTCCCTGCTTGGAGGGGAGGAGGGAGAAAACTGGGACTGGGGCTGCTGCACACTCTCCCTTGCCTATCTGACAGTCTGACAGCCACCTGCTCCCATCTGGGTGCGTGTGGGCTGAATTAAGGAGTGGGATTCAGCATCCAATCCCAAGGGAGTTCAGGTTTAGGATTTGGCATCCAGTCCCCTCTGGTGTTAGAGGGAGCGCTGGAGCTTGGCAGAGGGCTGTAATGATGGATAGATCCATTGCCCCAGTGGGGCAGGGCCACATGTTGATGTTGCTGATGGCTGGGGGCTGAGTCGTCACCTTTTCCTTGCAGGGACCTGCTGAGGATAGGGGTGACGCTAGCAGGGCACCAGAAGAAGATCCTGAGCAGCATTCAGGACATGAGGCTGCAGATGAACCAGACACTCCCAGTGCAGGTTTGACCACAGGGGACTCTGCATTGGAACGGACCAAGGGAACCTGCCATAAAGGTTCAGTTTGCGGTGCAGCCCAGCTTCCTGTTTTCCCCTCCACACGGCGCTCCTCTGCCTCGGACGGTCGCCTGGGACGGGACGGGACGGGACGCCCTTCCCTGGATCGAAGGCACTCATGCTGAGGGAGCCCAGCTTTTCGTCCCTTGTCCTGGAATGGCGAGGCAGCAACACATCTTCATATTGAAGATGGATTATGGGACAGAGATGGCACATCCCACTTCCCACCCTGTCTTGGTGCTCATCGGTTTGAAGAGTTGTTCTGCTTCTTGGATTTCTTTTCACCCTGTTTTCCCCCAAATCCTCACTTCCCTCACCTCCCCGAGGCCACAGACTGTTGACCCGTCCGCCGAGTCCGTCAGACATGTCCGAAGCCTTCCCTAACTCTGTTCCCCACGTGGAAGCAGCCGGGGGAGGCCGAGCCAGCGACAGGGCTGGGGCCACCAGCCCCAGACAATCACTCCTCTTCTCCAGCCCTGGCAAGCCCTCCGCCCAAGGGTCTGCACTGGAACGTGTCCGAAGGGAAGGCTTCGCTCCCTTTCTTGGCTTTGCACGCCAGAACCCGAACCCGATTTACTATGCAGGGAGTTAGGCAAAAAAAAAAAAAAAAAAAAAAAACAAAAGAAAAAAGAAAAAAAAAGAGATATATAAAAAAAAGATAAGAGGGAGCAGAAAGGGGAGGGAGGGGGACCAGGTGCCCGGCTCCTCATCTCTTACCCTCTTGGTTCTCCTGGCCGGCTCTCGACTGCAGAGCGAGGCCATCAGCACGTTTGCACAGGGACCCTCCGCCCCCGGACCGACGGACGGCAGCCGCTCCCCCGAGGGCCGGAGAGCGGGGCTGGGGCGGGGGCTGCGCCGGGGGCCGCGCCTCCCCCAGCCTCCTCTTTTATGCAGAAGGAGCAGGCGCCGCCCGCTCCTGACACACGCTGTGATTGCTGCCAAAAGACTCACTCACCTTCCCCTGAGGATTCACTGCAGCCCGGTTCCTCCGAGCCGAGGGAGAGACTCCCAGCGTGCCTGAGTGTGCGTGAGTGTGTGCATGCGTGCGTGGGTGTGTGCTGGCCGCAGGACTGTGGGAGGCAATGGGCAGAATAAAGGCAATAAGAATTTTACCCGAGTTTCCTTTGCTCGATCGCGCTCTCATTGGATGGGCCCGGCTGCCTGCAGCTTCGCTGCCCACCAGGGTCATCCTTCTCCTCCTCCTGGCCGACCCCAAGCTGGCTGTGTGCCCCTTTCTGCTCTCCCCTTCTCTTGCTGTCATGTTTTCAGGTTGTCCGACAGGGACCAGGCAGTGATCCTGTACCAACCCTGTGGTGCTGGCAGACACAGCACGCTCCCCGTGAGGCACACAGGGCGGAGGCTCTGAGTCCCAGGTCAGAGCCAGTCAGGAAACTCTAATGTACTAGGAATACTCAGCATTTTTCCCCCCTACCCTCCTCAAGTCAAGCTGGAATTGTGGGAAGCAGACAGGGAGTGTGAAAGCCAAGCAGGGAACAGCAATGCCCACTGATTATCCAATGCCACAGGGTTCCCACAGCTCCGGGGCTTCTCCATAGGGCACTGCTCCTCCCCTGCCTCCCTCTGGGCAGCCTGCCCTCCGCAGGAGGGTTGCAGCAGCCCCTGGCACCCCTGGATTATGGCCTCACTCCTCTATTAAATGGCTCTTGAGCAGGGGGGAGCTCAGCAGGATGCACAGACCAGCTGCAGGTAGCAAGGGAGGGCAATCGGGAGGCCATGCCCTCAGTCTAGGGGAGATTTGTCCACAGTGGCCAAGTGGAACCCCAGTTCCTCATCCTGGGTTTCTCAGGTCCCCCTTGGCTGCACTACCTTGTTAACTGGCTTTTAGGGTGCTTTGCTGGCATTCCATAGGGGCGAGTGTTGTCTCCCCAAAATGAGGGGGTGCACCCCTGTGCTCCCCAGTGCTTGGCCCCGATCCCCCCCTCCCCGGGCTGACACAGCAGCTGCTGTTTTTTCCCTTCCCTTGGAACAGGCCTGCCCTTGGGTTTCTCATTAACCCTGTCCTCCTCCACAGGGTAAACAAGTCCAGGAGGGCAGGTGGCAGCAGGAATGGTCTCCCCACATCCCGCCATCTCCTCTGTGGGATGTATCTGGGATGTTGGCTCACAGGGACACCACAGCCCCATTTTGCTGGGGTTTCCCATCCTGGCTTGCTCCCTGCCCTGGCAGCTCCCCAGCCCCACCATGGTGGGACCCCAAACAGCAGCACTGGGCAGACCTCACCCCTCTCCCAGATCAGGAGAAGAAACCTGACATTGAGAGGCTTCTAAGAGCAAGTGGCTGAAGGGACATGAGAGCCTGTTTGGGGCTTGCTAACCACCCACAGCCCCCCATGCAGAAGCACAATGGGGCACAGGGGCTGCCCCTGCCTCCCTTGCCCCCCAGCCCCTGCTGCTGCAAAGTTTGGGGTCCCACCAGCCCTGGTGCATCTCAAACATCCCCATCTCAGTCCCCCATCCTGGCCTGGCTTTGCTTTGAGGAGAGGTTGTTCTCATTTTAAACAAGAAACCCCTTCTCCCACCCTTCTCTATGCACACCCTGCTCCCATGGGGCAGGACACACCATCCCTGCAGCCAGCCCGGGGTCTCGCCCCAGCCACAGGGGTGCACCCAGCAGCTCCCCACATCCTGTACCTGCCTCCTCCCTTTCCACACAGATCTGGGGGAAAGCTGTGTTCCATGGTGAAAGAAAAGCAACAGCGAAAAAAAACAGCAGCCAGGGAAATCAATGCGAGCGTGCGTTTGTAAAAATATTTTTTAACGGAAAGACTTTTTTTCAATTAAATTATTTAAGGAATTTTATGGAGGTCTGTGTTGCCTGCGTGGTTCTTGGGGGGCTCTGGGGGGCAGGGAGCCCTGTGCTGGGCAGCTGAGGGTGTGTTTGGGCACTGTGTGTAAAAGTGGGTCCGTGGCAGTGAGCAGGAGCCTCTTGACCCCACGGGGGTGCAAACACAGTCCAGTTCCCTCCCAAAAGATGCTCCCTGCCTCCTCCCGGAACAGCCAATGGGTGAGGACGTTTTGAGGGGCTGAGTGGACCAGATGATGCTCTCAGGGCCACCAGCCCTCGGGTGCCACTGTGGGATCATCCTGGGGCCATGGGAGCAGCGTGGGGTGGCCCTGGGGACCCTGGTGGCCTTGGGGAGCGTGGTGGCCGGGCTGGGCTGGGGACACGGCAAGGCCTGCCTGCACCCTGCCTGGGCTCTGCGCTTCCCCCTCCCAGCCCGTGCAAAAGAGCCTTTTGTGCTGCTGGGTTTTTTCCCCCCTTTTAATTCCTAACCAGGAGATTAAGGGAAGACAAAGGCTGCGATTGTTCCCGCTCTGCAGAGAGCTGGAAAGTTCGGGGAGGGGGGATCGTCCCTTTGCAGACAGGCCCAGAGGAGGGGGACAGACGCCCCAGGTGGAGGGGCCGGGAATGGGGAACACCCTGGGAGCGGCGGCGGAGGGTCCCGGGGCACAGCTGGGATCAGGGCACGCCGAGTGCTGAGGGGATCCCTGCCGGGGTGGCCCGGCGGCTCCGGCTCCAGCGGGAGGGTGGGAGGCTCTCCGCAGCAGAGGAGGAGGAGGAGGAAGGCTGAGGAGGATGGCTTGGCCGGCTCGCCGGCTGCTTGGCGTTTTCCCTGCTAACTCTTGGCTGACACCTCAACAACTTGGCAGGGAGAGGATCCCGCAGCCCCGTCAGCCGCCTGGGGCCGGCACAGCTGGAAGGGATCACGGCTCGGCACGGCTCGGCACGGCTTGGCACAGCCGCTGTGACCCGGCAGGCCAGCACGAGGCACGGGGCAGGGAGGGCACAGGCGTTCTCCGCCATGCCTTGTCCCACTGGCACCCTGTGCCCACGGGAGAGGCCGAGCCCAGCCGTGCCGGGGCCGCATCCTGAGCCCACAGAGCCCGGGATGGCCGGACGCCGGCCAGGCGGGCCTCAGGCTGGAGCCAAGGACACACATGACCCGGCAGGGGGCTGTCCCCACAGCACAAGGGACGGGACCCGGCACATTTTCCCATGCTCACAAGAAGCCACGAAACACCCACGAACACCCCAGTTCTGCTCCTTCTGTTTCCCGTTAAGATTATTTATTGGTAATTTTTAAGACCACTTACAGACTCTGTTCACGTGCCAGGACCCTACACGGCTTTTTCCCAGGGCTTTTTTTTTAATTATGAAAAAAAAAAAAAAGCCCAAATTGTTTTAATCATTTTCTTTCCATTCCTTCCTTCCAGTCTCCTTTGGTTGCTACCAGAAGACTTGCACATGGTGCAGCATCCGTCCTTGTCTGCCACCACCACAGCCCGTCCTCCCTGCCCACTGCTGCTGGCGCCCTCATCAGGGCTGAGTGTCCCCACAGGGGGACAAGAGCCCCAGAAGCTGCCAGCCAGTTCTGGAAAAGGGGATCTGAGGCCCGGGGGGCTGCCTTGGGGAGCAGGAGGCAGCTCTCTTGCAGATGCCTGGGAGCTGACATCGTCTTTGGCAGCACAGCCAGAGAGCAAATGCACCCACATCAATCACCCCACGCCTGTCTGCCGCGTTTGGGGAGCAGAATCTGACCCGACACTGGACCAGGAGGCAAAAAGCAGCTTTGGGTTATTAAACAAGACCAGGTCAATGCCTTGACTCAGTGTGGTCTGGGAAAGGCTGGATATCCGATGAAAAGCAATGGTGGCCTTGCTGGTGTGGCTGGGGCTGTGCCAGGGGCTGCATTGCTCCCACCAAGGGCTGCCCTGGCTGGGAACACTGGCTCTTTCGGGAATGAGGGGAGCAAAGGACTGGTGCATGGCTGGAAGTGAGATGTAGACATGCCCCCATCCCTGCTAGCCTGCCTTACCCAGGTTTCACTGGCCAACACCCCTGCCCTGTCCTGAAGCATCACAGATATTGATGCCTGTTCCCCACATGGCAGATTACACATGCCACTGCCCACCCAGCCCTTCATGCCACCTAAATCTGCCATTTCCAGCTGAGAAGACCCTTCACGTGCCCCGGTCCCCCAGCAAGCCCAGCCCCGCTGCTGCCGAGCCCCCTCGCTGCCGCTGTCCCGCTTTGATCCCCCGGAGCCGGGGCCGGTATCGCCGCCGGGGCCGGGGGCCGCCCCGGGTGTCAGACTGGTTCAGCCGCACATTTCTGGCTAATGAGAAATTTCCTCTCCCCGGCGCTCGGCCAGGTTTTTTTTTAGCTCCGGTATCGCTACCCCACCTCTGCCTGGGCCACGGCAGAATGAGTCACGGGGGGCCCGGGCCGCTCCCGCACCGGCACCCCCTGCCCGTGCCTTCCCGGGAGCCCGGCACAGCCAAAACTCCCGTGACCCATCGTGTTGTGAGAGCCAAACACCCCGGAGCGATGCCCGAGCCCGGGCGCTGCTCTGGAGCCGGGACGGACGGGCTGAGCCTGGGGAGGGCTCAGTGCAGAGCGGGGGGTTCGGCTGCCATACCCTGCTGTGCCCCATGGTCCCAGCTGCCCCGTCCGTGCTCGGGGAGCCACAGCTCCGGGCGGCTGGGGAAGTTCAAAGGAAGAGGAAAAGCAGCAGCCCCACTGTGTGCGAGGGTTTGGGCTCGGATCCCCACTCCCCATGTCACA